ACACGCGGGGCCGACTATCGGCCTAGGTTAGCGACTGCAGAGCCGGTCGTGTTGCAGCTGAAAAGGTACTGGGTTCCTCTGAGGATGTGGCTTAATGTGGTTCCTCCAAACCAGGGTGGTCGAAATAGAACGGAGAGTTGCAAAAGGCGTCGTTGCAACTGTGAGCTCCCTACCTGCCCAGGCGGTGGGGATGGGCGGCGAAATGCTCTTGGAAGGTGTTGTGTTTGGTCATAGCCACACTGGTTACAGGGCAGAAGGAACAAAAGCCCAGACACACATCTATGTGCGGTTACTCAAAATGAGCTGCAAGAGCATTATGGCACCTCGTGCATGAAAGTTTTCTTAAGGCTTCCTCGGAAGCATCAGGTATTACCTACTGCCTCAGGCAGGAAAGTGCTCCCAACAGATGCAATCACAGGCTTGGTCTTTCACAGCAGCACCTGGTTTCCCCCCACCCCATCTGCCAGAGATAATGTATGCCTTTACACTTTTTTTTATTGGAAAGGTGTGAGCATATCTGGATTTGATTTCTTTCTCTTTCGCATGCACACTGTTTACCTTCCCTTGAGAATACGCTTTGATCCAACATGGTAACTGATACTTTGAAACAAATGTGGCCCCCACCTCTCTCTTCCCCTTAGTGTAACTTCATTCTGTTACGAGAGCTGAGCTCAGCTGAAAACAAGCAGCTCTCACTACCATATACAAAACATTGGCATTGAAATGAGCCTTGGTCTGAAAACAGCTGTTACCCAAGTTTAGCACCCTTCAACTTATTTTCATAATGAAATACTGACTATCAGTATTTTTCAGGCAACTCTTTCCAGACCCTGGTGAGAATCAGAACAATGGAACTCCTTTATCCCTCCACAGCTTCTTGGGCAGCACCAAAAGCCCTGCTTCCCTTAGGATGGCATTTTTAAGCGTGAGTTTATCTGATGCTTTATCTGCTTCTGTGCTCTCGCCACCTGCATTTTACAGTTCTATCTGTGCCTGCTTGATTGTATCAGCATAAAGATACCAATGTCTCCAGGATACAGCTTTACGTGCATTATTAGCATTGCAAATGCTGAGATCACTGATACTGTTGAAGTCACAGGGATTTTTTTAGAATAAGATCATTGTCACACTTCTTGCCTCTGCGAGGCCATAGCCAACACATCATATATTGACACGAAATAAGACACAACAGCAGCAGCCACAGACTTCCTGGCAGAGCTGCACTTCACCTCAAAGGCAGCCAGTAGGCTAGAAAACACAGCATTGACTGGCTGCTTCTCCGCTGAGCGAAATACAGGTGAAGATCACAAACACCAAGGATCAAGCAGGTCAGAAATCTGGACAGCAAGCACTTAGATTGCTAGAGCGCCTGGTTTTTCTTAAAAAATCAAAATACGCATAGATATCAGATATGTAATACAAGCAGCATCTATTTTTCCAGTCAGAACCGGACATTTTGAGCAGGTGTAAGCCAGTAACCTTTCAGGGTACTGTTGTTCTTTCCCGTGTGTAACAGCCTGCACCCATGGCCAGAAATATGCAATTGCTGCCTTCAGGCAACAGAAACCAGACTTCAGTGGAAGATTTGTCCTATTAAAAATTGAAAGAATCTATATACGGTATCATTTCCTGCTTTGGGGTCACCCATTGTAGCTTTCCATGCCTTATGCTCATGCTGCAGGCTTCTGTTAACATGATTTCTCCCTGCTTCTATAAAACTTTGTAAGAATTTGGTATTTTAGCGCTCTGTCAGATTTTGTTGAAAGTTGTTGCCAATTTCATAAGTTAACGGTGATGAAGCATATGCTCTGCCCTGTTTCTAAATGAAATCAGACTACTGAAATCAGATCTACTGACTACTTGCCTTGTAACTGTATTAGCAAACAGCATATTCCATAGTTGTTTACAAAATGCACCTGCATTTTGTCCAAATTACTAATCTTAGCTTTCTCTTAACTCTGTATGAAAAAGCCTTGCTAAGAAGTCAGCCTTCTGCTTTTCAGTGATCTTAAAGTGCTTACCATCCTTGTCAGAACTCCTCGCACAAACTATTTTATACAAGTGACGTGCACGCTGTATATTGTGTGTTGTCAAAGATCCATAGCAGTTTAATGTGTCAGCAGAAAACACAATCACAGCAAAATTGCCTTGAATCTCCTCAAAAAGCTTTAGAAGTCTTCAATCTTGGGTGACCGTTGGAAGACAAGGACTTCAATACAGGAAACTTTCAGATACTGTGAATAATCTGTTCTGCCTATACCTTGCATTTGGTTTGCCTTTGCTGAATTTGAACTTCATGTAATGTACAGGAGCATTTTTAGTGTAAAGTTTAATACTTGCTTATTTTTTTCTATGGCAAACTCTGAAATGCTGTTAAACAGGATCAGCTGGGAAGAGGTCCTCACCATGGTCCACAGGAACTATCTTGACTACAGGAAATGCAAGTTCACGCATTCCACACACTGTTTCATGCCAGAAATCACATATTGCTATAAAAAAACCCCAAAAAACAGAACTTCTGTGTTAACCTGGCAACATATTTACTCTCAGGATGAATACTGACACACCCAATACTTACTGCAGCTGGAAGTGTTTATTGCAGCACATTTACAATGTGTAAACATTCAGACAGAACATGTTTAGTGTCCTCCACCTTTGTGCACAGCATTATACGTTGTCACACACAACTACAGGAATGTTGCTCACAGATGCAAGTTATCTAAAATACGCTTCCCTTTGGTTTTCTATTCTGCTCCCAGAATGAATAGACTACAGAAAATAAGGCAGCCATTAAATTGTATCACAATCAACAAATTATATAAACTAAGTTGTCAAAACTGAACTTTTACAAGATGTAATGTTTCAGACAAGCCACGAAAACTCTGACAGTACCAGGTTATTAGGTTGGTAAAACATCCAGTTTCTAAAGCGTGGGGAGATGTGCCTCTCAGAGACATATCTTCTGTGTATTCAACTTAGTTTAGACGTCAGGTTTACAGACTTGTGTACCAGAGGAGGATTTCAAATTAAAAAAATAGATACTTTGAAAGTGCTTTTGTCTGACTTTTCCTTTAAAAACATAAGGTCAGCAAACTGCGAAGCTGAAGACTGTAACTGATCCTACTCAGCGCTGGATATAGGAGAACATCTACATTTCTCCATGCAGCTCACCCCTCAAACTTCAGTTCTGGCCTCTCTGAGACTGCCACTTACGTCAAGTGGTGCTTATGTTTATAGAAATATTTAGTTTATGCTCTCAGCCATATTTGAATAGCTTGCTTGTGCATCAATTCACTGTAATGTCTCCAGAAACAAATTACACCAAATTTCACAGTTTTAGTTTATTTTTACTATGAGTGCAGATAAACAAAAAATGCTGAGGGCTCTAGAGTGAGCTTTTGTTCATTCAGTGATGGGTCATCCATAGCTAGGTAATGCCTGCAGTACTGAGGGCTAGGTTGGTGTTCAAAGTTGTGGCTGTCCAGCACTATTTCTACTTATAGTTGAAAGTTACTGCATAGTCTAGTCTACTCGTATAATCTATCCAAGTCTCTGAACACAGACAGCTCTTTAATGCCCTTTGCATTCTAGCACAATTTAACTGAGGAAACAAATAGAACAAAGCTAATAAAAAAAAAACAAAACAAAAAACAAACCAAAACCCCTGAACTAGCAGTGAGTGCCTAATCAGAAAGACTCTTAAGTTTATCATAGGCTTCTGCCACAGGCTTACACTGTTTTTTGAGAAAAGCAAATTCAGGCATTGGGTAAAAGGTTTTCCACCAGCTCCACTGTCCAGTTCTTGCTGTGTGTGCTGCTTTAATGCCTCCATGGTATACTCCCACAATCCATTAAATATGTTCACTACAACCTGTAGAGGAGAGGGAGAAAAAGTTGTCAGGTACATGCATCAAAAGAATAGTTTGATTCTACAAGGAGCCTTAAAAATGCATCTGAACTATTTAATCAGTGATACACACCAATAAGAAACTGCTGTGAACCACCATAAAACATTCTGAACATGTGAAAGAATTAAGAGAAGCCTTGTGTATCCTGTGGGATCGTAGAACTATTCAAGGAGCGGAAGCCACAGAACTAATAGCACAACATCCCGCTCGAGATACTTACTTATTCCTACAGATAATGTGTTTCAAAGTAAAACCAGAAGGCCACAGTACAGAGCTAATGGAGCAATGTCCAGTATTTACAGGCAACTGCAAAGTCAGCCATAGTCTAGCTTCTAGAGAAACAAACACACTATTTCCACATTAAAAAACATTTTGTAACACTAACATGCATGGTATGAGGCATGCGTGTGGATCAAGACATTTGGCACCAGGATAAAATTATTAGAGAGCAGGTAATCCGTTTAGGAAACAAGGCTCTGAAACAAGGCACTTATATTGCTACAACTCCATTTGAGTCCAGGGTGCTGCTGGCTGCCCAATACTCCTGAAGAACAAGTTGCTCGAGAATAACCAAGTTTTCCTTTGCAAATGCTCTTCTGGAGTCCTGATCCCCGCCTCGCAGTTGGTGGGAAAAGTATTACATGCCCAGCCTGTCCCGCCTCATGTTGGGTTTCTTGCCTGGTTAAATTGAGAGGTGTGTACAGAAGAGGAAATATTAACATGTCTGTGCCCTTTACCCAGGAGCAAGATGCCCTGCTCTGCTTCATCCCACGGTTTTATCTGCCGTAAGGCACTCGGTCAGAACAGTGGCGCTCAGCTCTGGACTGGCTCACTGCAGGCTCTGTTGTCTCTGTTCCAAAATATGTCCCCACCTCCTCCCCCTCATAAACATATTCTATCTGGCATATCGCAATATAGCACACCAGAAAAGCCCGATACCAAGGAGCTGCAAAGGCCTTTGATGTTTTTAATCAAGCTGCACATATTTTAAGGCTCTCCCACCAAGGGACCCTTCAGCAAGCAAGACACAGAGTTGCTGCCAGCCAGGTTAAATATAAACCACGTATCCTGCAGTCAGTGTTCCTGAAGAAACAAAACTTCACATAACTGAAGCATTAAGCTCTCCACAGTGAAAGTTAGGCAATGCTTTTGCATGTGCTGCAATAGTATCTTAAACTGCACGCTGTCTTAAAACCTTGGCAAGCTGATTTTCTCCCTAAGTTTCAGTCCTGCTACCATTTAAGTTAGGACACCTTACTGCACAAGGTATCATTAAAAAGTGGATAAGACAACAGTGAATGAGTTCTGCAAGTCCAGCCTATTGCAGTGAGTACAGCAAACGTTCATGCTTGCACATTATACAGATGGGTTCCCAGGTTACTGTATATATTATTTAACTTTCTATACTATTTTTTATATGTTAAGTGATTCTTAATTTCAAAGTTCCCTCACATCTCCTAAGGAGTTTGTTGGCTGCAGACATTTTGCTGAAGTGCTCCATTCTAGAGCATTACAAATAGTTTGGGATTTCTGTGGGTTTTTTTTCCCCCTCTCCCCCCAAAAATTTAAGTACTCTTCATAAACATTATATCAGGGACATTTTATGGTGCGTTGCTTTTGCATATACCTTAATATATTATTTTAATATAGTTACATACCATTATAACAACAGAAGAGAGATGCAGAACTCTCCTCCTCTAACCTGTACCTGCCAGAGTTTGGTAAGTCTTTGCACTGCGATATAAATCTCTGAAGTTCTGTCTCCGGAAAGCCATCTTCCTGGTAGTGCTAAAAATTGATATTTAGTTAAACCTTTAACAAGGCTAAAACATACAATTACACAACTGCCCCCCAGACCACTTCAGACATTGCTCAAGTCTGAAATTAGAAGATTCACGGAACCAAATATGAAATTACTGCTTTTTAATAGATATTTAGCTTCCATTGCACTGGAAATCAGATAGGCTCGTAAGAAAACTGAAGTAGGGAGGGATTAAACACCTCTCATCATCACTCTACACCCTCAAAAGTAGCCATTGTATTTTTTCTTTAAATGGACCTGCACTGCAAGTCAAAATATTGAGGGAGATGACAGTCTTGATAGCACCAATCTTGCATTTTTATCCAAACAAAGAGTAAGAGTCCATGCTTACCTTGACAGTTTCATACGTATCTGTAATGAGTGCAATGAAGAGACTCAGCACCATATAGATGAACAGACTGATGAAGGAGTAGAGGTAGATCCTACTGAATAACCAAACCAAGTAACTTTTCTGCTGCATCTTTGCAAAGGTGGCAAACATGTCATCTCCATTGATCAATGAAAAAAGGCATTCGGACACCATGTTCAGAGAGCGAAACTGGAGGGGAGGAAGAAGACAAGGACATCCATCGCTGCTTTATTTGGATCCAAAGACTGTACAGAACGTGAAGAAGATACACAGCTGATGACTGGCTGCCTCAGACCTCTTGGTACTCCCAGGGTATGACAAGGTGCAAACAATAAAACATTAGGGGAATGAGAAAAGTTTGCCACCTCTTGTACACATACACACTCAATTCAGATAAGCCAATTTCACTTTTAAAAGGCATAAGGATAAAGTTGCCAAAGCTTTAGTCTGACACTGGTGTTCTGCAAGATGAAAATTATTTCTCAAAATACCAGCATGTGACTGGGAGTCACGGTGAGCTTCCACTTCTGACTCAGAGCTTTCATAACTCGAGGAAAGTCTGATTGAGTCATGGAAGTCAGACTCCTCCAACAGAGCAGCATCATGTTGAAGATGCACTATTTTTACACTAAGGGACGCCTTGACATGGAAACTTAGAAGACAACAGTAGTAATCTCTCATTTGTTTGGAAACCATTCTGTTATTCAAGTTGTCTTTTTTTATGCTAAGTGTATTACCTTCACATGGTATGGTCCCAGTACAATCCATCCACAGAAACAATAGCCCAGGTAGATCATAGCAGCACAACAGCAGAACCTCATTACGTTGGGTAACGCTGCTCGCAGTGTTAGGATGAGAAGCTGCACAAAGCAATGCAAGCAGTTAGAATTCAGCCAGGCATTTCTTCCAGTCCTCTTATAGCAACAAACAGAATAAATACCAACAGCACGAAGATCCCAGGAGATCCTTACATTATACTTCTGAAAGAAACCCAGGTAGCGAATGACTCCAAGCCACACAAGCATAGTGGATGTTCCTAGGAGTATGCTACAGACATCATAACTTGTCAGACTCTAAAAAAAAAGAAGAAAAAAAAAAAAGAAAGAAAAAAAATCAAGTATTATAATCACTGACAGGTTCTAAATTGTGACTCTCATTACTACGAAGATCTGTTAAGAAACATTGCTTTCCCTGGCAATCTCTCCCATTAAAAATTAGTCTGATGCAATATGCATTAGAGAGCAGAAGTCCCACCAAAGAGCAAGGGCACTTTCAAGTGTAAGACATTTCACATGCCTTTACATACAGCTGTTTGTAAAAGAGATGCTGACAAGACAAGCTTCATTTGCAAGGCCAAGAGTGCAGCTGCACTGCAGGTGCAGAGACACCCGCTCTGTACCTGGCTCACTAAGACCTGCAGAGTGGCACTGATGGACATTTTTATGCTGCTTCCAGACCTGTGGCAACCGCTTCTGGAATCTGCATCGCCAGATTCCCCAGAGCGGCTTGGGAATCTCTCCACTGCATCCCCACGGACAGTGCAGACATGACTTTAGAAGCGCAGAGGAAAGAAGGTTCTTCCAGTACGTTGGCAAAGCAGGTTTTAAAAAATACTGTGACATGTCAGCAGAGCTCAGATAAATACTATGGAGGATCTCGTTAGGTAGCTGGGAACTGTGAGGTGTAGAAAGTTGTCAAGGAGAAGACTAATTAGCTTTTAATTAATTCTAATCAGAACTTCATTTATGTTTTATTGGCACTTCACTGTTTGTTCCACCTGTACATACTGGCCTGTTTTCATCCAAGTTAGCATATACCCTGTTCCCTGAACTGCAGCTCTACTCTGAAATGGATCATGACAGCTTACTTGAATAAGAAGCTTTCACTATTTTCTGTTTTTGTTCCTCGAAGAGTTGGCTGATCTTTTGTATTAGCATAATTCATTTACAGTTTGGCAAAAACCCAAATGAAGTGAAATGTACCTGTAGAGAAGAGTTTTAGTAAAATACTCCCTTAGAAAAGAAACATATATAAATAGATGTATTTATATATGTAAGATACTGGAATCCCAAATGCAAGATCTTACTCCAATCTTGTTCTCATCTTTGCTTCTCCTGAAGCAGGATGGAGTTATCTCTTATCTTAGCCAACTTCCTCAGAGCTGCTTTCTACTGCTAAGAACTGAGTTTATAGTTTCTAAGGTAAGATAGGGCAATTTGTACAGGGCATTTATGATAGTCAAGCTGTCACCAGATGGATTTCAGACCCATCCCTTCATCTCTACTGTCCAAAGTCTGTTGTGTTGCAATGTCACACTTCAAAGGCTGCTACAGATTTGATGAACAACAACATTATTTGAAAATTAGAGTACTTCAGGATAGCATATTGTGATGATTTTTGTTCCCTGATGCTGGCTGCACATAGTATGTTTTTGAAAGATTTTTTTTTTTTCTGTATCAAGTTTATTTTAGAAATTGAAGGCCTAGAACCTGACTGTGGCTGACTATTACGTACATGCTAGAAACCAGAAGCTGGAGAAGCAGAAAAGTAATGTTTAAGGAGACAGTCTCTGTGCTAGTTAAAACACTTGTTAAATGGGGAACAGAAAGTTAAATGCTAAATTTTAAAAAATCCATCAAATTAGCAAATATAAGCAGTCCTAAATGGGGAAGAGAGGAAGTCAACAGTCTTAAACTTTCAGAGACAAAGATCATTTTATTCCTTGGAGTCACAAAGGAGCAAATATAATTAGAACTATAATATCTAATGATATTTGGAGGTTTTAAATCTCGCAACTGGAAACAACATATCTCAGTTATAATTCCAGAGGAGAAGATAGAGTATTCAAATTTCATGCCACTCAGAATCAAGTATAGCCAGCCTAAAGTCCTCCAAGAGTTTTAAACCTAGCTCGGACAGAAACAACCAGTTTTGCTTCCACCTGACAGTGTAAAAAGCTTACCTTGGCTTGTATCTCCATCTTTAGAGTTGATCCAACTATAGTTAAGACATCGCTAACCATAATCAGGATGTACCATCCGTTGACAAATTCCATTTGATCACTGAAAGATACTTCTTTCTTATAATAATATAGGAAAAAACTTACAAATTCCTAGGAGAAAGGAAAAAAGAAAAAAATAAATCAGACTTACACAAGAGAAGAAGACTTCCCAAGGAAAGCGTTATACCCACCCTTTGGAGACGAATTCCTTTAACAACAGATCGTGTGCAAAGGACCAATGAGGCCAGACAAGTCAATATAACAAAAGCATCGAAGATCATCATGTAATGAGTGTTTTTCTGTACTGCAAGAACAAAAATATACATATTTATAACCAGATGCATTTCATCTTGTTGACCGTCTTAAGTATTGAAGTGAGAATCAAGTTTTGATGTTAACTATGTTTATACAACTGAGTTAAGAAAAATCTTAGCATTTTTCCCACAAAAGTTTATCTGACATATTGTCATGAGAGGCACAAGTGCATCTGCACTACAGATACCACTTCCGTTAATTTAGGAAGGTTGATACCATATCAAAAATATACCAGAGCGTGAGTGCCTCTTACAGCCCTGCAGAATTAGAGGTGAGAGTTGTCCATTTTACAAGCATTGGAATGGCCTTTGGAGAACTTGTCAAAAAAAAAAAAAAAGAAAGAAATCCTAGGAACTTTACGGTATGTATCTTCTCTTCCAGACCAGTATTTGACTATCAGGTTTTCTGTCCTAGAGCAATGCAGATAATTTGCACTGCTGCTTGGCTAGCCAAGACCAACATTGACCTAGACATAAGTTCTCTTATGTCACTAAAATTCACACTCTTGATCAACTAAGGACAAATTTTGCACCAAATCTACCACTAGACCTCTTTTTGTTTTTTATACCTATCATACAGCTGAAACTAGATTAGACAGTACAACGATTAGATTTTTAATGCTAGAAGAGTAATTGTCTGAGAAAAAAATTGAAACAAATTAATGCTAAATTTGCAAGAAGGTGCAGCAATTCTCCAAAATGGGATACTGAGTTCTAATTGACTTCACAAACTGCACTACTCAGAAAAATCCCACCTACTTCTTGCTTATACCACAGTCACTAATACATGTACTGTTCCCATTTACGTTGGTTTTGCAGTATAGTCCAGACCAGCAACAACTTACTATTGTCCAATTGCAATCTTTACCTTTGTATCTTTCCTTGTCTTTCAGAAAATAATACAGGGTACTCCAGGAGATGATTTTGAAAACTGTTACAGAGGCAATCGACCCAGATATCAAATGTGGATTACTATAGAAGCCTGGTCTCAAAACCTTCTCGTAGTGCTGCACTAGCAATCTGTTAGAGGTAGCATGCCATCTGGTGTGCATTTGTAACACAGCAGCCAGCAAAGCTAGTTGATAAAGGAGTGTTTAGTGGAACATGCGTTTGCATAGGTGGTGTGTTTTGTAAATCTGGATCTTTAAAAAAAAACTCTTCTCTTTTTTCACTACCAGCCCTTCGTTTCCTAACGTAGGCATAGCGAAGGGGAAAACGGCAATGTAGGAGAATGAACCCAATCCATCCTGTAGCTTACTTCAGAAAAAAAAAAGCGGAATTTAGAGTCCTGGAAAGCTTCTGACTTTCAAATAGATTATTTTCTCTAATCAAATAAAGATCTCAGACAATCTTTTGACCAGACACAATAGCTGCCAACAAAGGGTGTTGTGAGTTACTCTTGTTGAGTAACTATTTAAGGTATTTAACCATACCGTGCATCTCAGTTATACCCACATACACACCAAACATTTAAGCAGTAGTAAGAAGTGCTTCCAGCCATTCCACTCTAGCAAGCCTTAGCAACAGTGCTTCCTTATCTTTCCTGCTGCTAAGTTCTGAAATAAGAGTGAATCAGTTTCAACTTTCCATGACTCTCATGTGTCCTTCTGTTGCCTGGTACTAGGAGAATGGTTCACAGCGCTGTCTTAAGCAATGAGCAGTGTAAGTTCACTAGCTAAAGCTAGAAGGAAGCACAGTGAGGTGTGGAAGAATTTTGGTTTGACAGTATCGATGGTGCAAGGTTTGAGAACCGCTAAGGAAAGTAATGGTCCCCAGAATTTCAGATCAAAGGCTGAACAATTCTTTAGAAAATCAGCATTTAGAGTACACCCACTACAGAATGTATGTCAACAGTGCCTCATCTTTTAACAAAGTTTAAAAAACATTGTGCTAGTGTGGCAAAAGTTTAGCATGAAAATTTGAACATGTTTATGTCACTTACTTGATCCAGAAACATGCCAGTCTTTACACTCCCTGATTGCTATGTCATTGTCTAGACGTATCTTAATTCTTCCACTATGTGCTTTATTATCAAACACTATCTGTATTAAACAACAACAAAAAAAGTACATGTCTTTTTAAAGTTAAATCTTTACATATGTAGCACACTGTATTGCTAAGCTTGCATAATGATTCAGAATAATTATCCTAGGGGAGAAGTTACAAAACTTGTTTAAGCTTAAGGTAATTCCAGTTTATTCAAATAAATGCTGTCAAAGTGAAAGACAAATCTGGTGAACCATGTATTTGCCACAAATTGCTTGATCAACTAGATAGGAGGTGAAATTCTTTTAAACTACAGCTTCATTCCTCTGTGATATGAAAACAACCTTTCCTAGAAGCACCTGTCTAAAGAGAAGAGGTTTATGCTTTCATTATACTTAAGATGGATTAGAGCACAAAAGGCTGTAAGCTATGCAAGTGCTTCAGGACCACATCACAAGCACTCAAAGCTTAACCTTGCACAGTCATAACTGGCGGTTACTTACAGGGTACACTAAGCCATGCCAGAGTAATCCAGACACCACTAGGGACCAGTCAGTGGTGCCCAACACTCCTCAGAAAACATCTGCACTGCATGGTAAAAAAAAAATCTGCAACATGTGCATGGTAAACCAGCAGGGATGATTTCTTGGTTTGAACAGGAAGGCATGTGTCAGGCTCCCACGTACCGTCAGAGTGAAATCATAACAGTCAGGGAGCTCGTGGTGACGAACAGTCTGGAGGTTGATTGCCTTCAGATTGAACATGAGCTGCACCGTTACTAGTCTGCAACAGAGCTTTGTATTAGCTTTTCACAGGGAAAATGCACGAATACCCCACTACAGGAGGTGCTGATTCCTCCTCACCTGTGGAAATCCAGAGTGAGATTCAAATTGTGCATTCCCACTGTTGTGCTGTCTAACGGCATCATCGGCTCAATGTACAAGCAGTCTGCAATGGATAAGTACTCAAAACAGTATCTCACGCGTTACCACGCTCTTTAACTGTAATCTGCCTTTCCCACTCCCGAGACTTGAAAGAGTTGCTGACTACACCAGGCAAGATAGCACGCTTCAGTGAGGAGCCATTTGGGAAGTTAGCTGACAACTATACTGGCTTCCCTGAACCAGCCAAGTTATTCACCATGAATTCATAGGGAAGGCTCCTGAAATTAGCCCGAACTACTTGTATTAGATGGTCATCAGTGCTAATGGCTCATGACTTGTTTTGTGGCAGCAGACATAAAGAACTGTTACCTTGGAGGTGAGGGCTAGAGGTTAGTTACACAGTAGTTTTCTTGCCAGTTTTGGCTGGTAGTAAGTTCAGTATAGATCATTTGATAGGACTATGCAATACTGGATGTTTACAAGAATTCATTATAACGTAGGGTCCCTCCTCCCAAAGAACTGATACAATAGATTAGGTTCATTACCAGTCACAATCTCTGGGTCGATATCAAAGGTGTCATTTCCAGGACAGATGGTTCCTCGCTTGTAGAACTGCTGACACACAGCCAGAGCTGTCTCTTCTGCTCCCCTCTTATAAGCATGGTTTCCCACAGAAATGTTGGGCAGCTGTAAGTACTACAGTTCAGAACAAACAGACAAACTAACTTAGATGGTGCCCAAACTGTTAATGTCTGGAAAAAAAAACACCCAGAAGTGTTTGGATCTGTGCCATAACCTGTCTTTTTTGTTTAAAAGGTCACCTAAAGAACTCTGAAACCTACACCATGCTACAGCTGAGTCCTCAAATGCTTTAAGGTATTTGACAAAACCAGTAAGTGCAGCATTTGGATCTAAATACCTTTTTGCTTTTTAATTTTTTTTCCCCTTCCTCTTTACAATCCCTTTGTAATTTTCAAAACACTCTGGCTCAAATCCAAGGCCTGCATTTAGTGTAGAATTAGTATATTGATTAGCTTTAAGGACGTCACCACAAGTACAATGCTCTGGCAACGACAGAAAACCTGAACAAGTCAAGATTCTAGTCTGAAGTAACTGGCACAGAAGTTCAATTTCAGATACCATCAGGGAAGGTGGAAGAAGAAAAGCTACCCAGGTAAAGAGCATATGTATTGTATGCATTGCAGCGACAATCCTTACCTGGTTTATTGCAAAGAATATCTGGTCATAGACATCTGTCTGTGTGTATACAGCATAGGTATCATCCATTCTGTCCATGTATCCTTTCAAGAAGAGATGTTTGAATGCAACAGTGTTCTCTTCTTTGAAGGCAACCACCATTTGATTGCTCAATCCAAAAACCACCAGCTGAAAAAGACATTCATATTTTCTGCTCAAAGGCAAAGTTGGCTTCTGGATTAACATGTGAATCCTGCCCTATGAACAGCCATTCTTTCACCACGCTGGTAGGCATGGCACTTATGTGCAGGCTACTCCATTTCACAGCTGGTCAAAAGAAAGTTTGACTTTAGCAAACAATGAGTTTCAAGAATGTTCCTTTAACATGTTTACCAGCATCTTGGCCAAGGACTCACATTTTTACAAAGAAAAGGTTACCATCTCAAATTCAAGCTACCCATATATTGTTACGCGTGCTTTGTTAGTTCAGCCTGACATCAATATGACTTGCCTTGGGGAGTATCAGTGTACCTCAGCCAAAAAGACAGGACAGGACTTAACCAGACCCCACTTTGAAGTCCTTACCCCAGTGCACAGAAGGCAAATTGAGGACAACTCAGAAAGACAAGCGTTCCTCCCTCAGATTTGGGAGAAAGGTGCTTTGTGAGTAACTGATCAAAACTGTGCTTCTAACAGGGTAACTTCTGAAGCTGTTAAAAAAAATATTGCAATTGTTCATAAAAAGTTAGCGTAAAACCCTGCTAGCTACTATCCAGGCTGGAAAAGGTTTCTAGAAGAATGGGATGTATTGTTTGTGGGAGCTCGCAATTCTCTTCAGTGATTACTGTTACAAATCTAGTGTTGGGAGTATTGTAAAGAAACTCAACAGAGATAAGTCTGAATGAGTAGTCTACAGATTAGTTTTATGGCCACGATGCAAACTGGATATGTAGGTTTTGATAAGGATAACTCAGTTACAGAGATACTAAAATGCTCTGAGGGCTAGCTCAGTGTGCTAGGCACACAGGAATATACCGGCAAATCAACAGGTCTAAGATTGAATTACCAGCTGGCAATTTTTCCCTGAAAAGGCTAAATCAGCATTATTTTCTTTCTTCTTTAGGTTCTTCTACCATCAAATTTTACTTTTAATTGCAAAAGGGGACAGATGACAATCACAGGATGATGATACATTTCAAATTAAAGCAGTAAGCAAGGGACACAAACATACTGCCAGATGTATAGCCAAAGAGTTATTATTCCTGCAGTTTGTCCCATCATCCATGCAACTGCAGAAAACATTCTTCTCCATACTTGTATTGTCATAGCACTGACACCACCATAAATGTAAATCACATGTGGGCAACTCTGAAAGATCATCATCTGAGGCATTAGAAAGATTTTATGAAAGACTTCTTCCCCCTTAACCACAGAACCTTGAGACAAACAGTTGCGTTTTAGACAGCAGATAAATGTGTTGTAGGAAATCTATGGTGCAAGGCTGGGTGAGAAAAAGAGCGGGGCAAAATTTCAGTTTTTTTCAATACAAGAGTCTGTATAACATATGAAAAGCATAAGCAAAAATCATGAAAAAGCTGCCAATTTCAGTTCGTATCACTGTGATATTGAAACACAAGCAACTGTTCCTTCCCTTGAACAAAAACAGTCAGTGATGAAGGTATTGGGGGAAACAGATGCGTAAGGATGCCACCCTTGGTGGGGGGAGAAAGGGAGGAAACAAAAACAAGTGAAGTAAAAAGTAAAGTAGAGCCCTTAAACATGGTTCCTTTCATCTCTGCTCTTAGGAAAGCTATCTTTCAGTCAATTGTTTTAGGAGATAATTATGCCATCTGAGATCTAAGCTACACATATGCAACTATGATAGTTTTGCAGTCTATCTTCTCCCTGTCTCTGTACCACACCAACAATAGCATTTGTTGCCTGCTTAGCCCCTGGTTCCCTAGTTACTCACCTGAATAGTAACCATCGCTATTTTGAGTAGTTGAATCCCAAGTTTCCAAGGTTTCCTGCCCCGGGCCCAGAATTTCTCACATGGGTTCATGAAGAAGAATTTTAACTTCCTTCTAAGCTGGTCTTCCAAAAGCCCCTCCTGTGATGCTGATGGGTGTCGTGTGTAGCTGCAGAGATTTTCATCACTGTGAGTGCTGCAGCTGCTCACAGCCACTTCAGGATTTTCCATTTCTGAAATGAAACGAAGTCCATGTCAGTTGGAAAACATGCAAGCATGAATACAGTGGCATGAGGTCAGTCTGCACTGACAACCTGGACTCCAAAGATGTTTATCTTCTGTGAAAGGCACTTGCATATTACACTGAATTTAAGACCTTCCTCATAATATTACACATGTTCTGCAGAACCAAAAGAAAAGTTTGGGCAAGCTGTTAAATTTGCAGCTAGGTTGTCAGGTCATTTATTTAACAGTAAAATTTCTATCCCTTTGGAATTATAGAGTCATATGCTGAAAATGTCTTCCTCTCTCACTTGCCAACAACATCACATATGCAAGACGTCCTGACTCATTTCCTTCAGTGTCCAGAGGAGTACCAAAAGCCTCTCATGAGCGTTCACTCTTCTGGAAAACTTATCTACTCCTGTAGTTAGCATTTTCCCCTGCTGTCCGCCTGCTGTCCAGTCCTTGAAAGAAATAGAATTTTCAAGGCAGCATTTTTCTTACATTAGTATTAGCATCATTCGCTCTTGGAAATGGAGACCCATCATGTCAACTTGCAATTCAGATAAATTACCTGAGTGCATTAACTTGTAATTTAGCAAGATTATCTCTATTTCTTCAGCCATAAAAGACTGAATGCAAACCAATGGTGATCATGAACCAGACAAAAAGACCCAAAGGTAATTGTATTCAAGCATCGTGATTAGCCGAAGAGGCTCACATTTTAGATGCGTATGAGGGGAAAGATTAGAAGAGAACCTCATAAACACAGTTTGAGACGCTAGTCTTTATAGTATTCAATACGTTTAGATGTTAATCTGTAACTAATTTCACTGATTCTCAAACATTTTATAAATGCTTTATAAACTCCTTCGGAGGTAGCCAGGAATATTTACTTTAGGTAAAAGATTGTTGACCTTATGAACAGAGGAGACAGCCTAGGTTGTAAGTAAGTTTAAAGATGTGCCATATTAGACAAATTATTTTTAATTTGCATATGAAAAGTTTCTTCTATAACTTAAAAAAATCATCATCAAGATTAATTTTTTAAAATGCATCGATCACATCCACTCTCCTCAAGCAGCCATTGCACACACCAGGACACAAGTCTGTTTTTAGATACAATTCAAGACCTTCAATTTCCCCAGCTGTCAGAGGGCAAGAAAAGTTTTGAATCAGCAGTTTAACGCTAAATAGGTCCATAAATAGGCTTAAAAAAAGATTCAGTTCCTGTTTTATCAGGTCTCCATCGTGCTGTGAGATTACAGTATGCCGCCGTTTCCACTCACCTTTCTTACGGCTGATCAACCAGTTCTAAGTTAAGCCCTGCTCTGATACGGCAATACTCCTGTCAATGTATGTGCTTGATTTAAAAAAAAAAACAAACCCAAAACTTCTTGACCTCACGGCATCGGCTTGAGAAGATGCTCCAGAACACGTAACACACAGGAACTGTTTTCTCGTTAACCTGCGCACAGGCAGCCCGGGCTCCGCGTACGGGCCGCACAGCGGGGCTGGCCGCAGGCCCAGGCC